TTTTCTATGAATGGATTGACCTGTACGAAACACGAACTCCTGAAGACCGAACCCAGTACCGTTACGATTTTAATCGTGCAGGAAATATCCTCAAAATGTATCTTTGAAAGACGTCTTTCCAAGATAACGTAACTTGGAATTCCGTCTTTCCAAGATAATTTATCTTGGAATTCCGTCTTTCCAAGATACGTTATCTTGGAATTCCGTCTTTCCAAGATACGTTATCTTTGAATTCCGTCTTTCTAAGATACTTATCTTGGAATTCCGTCTTTCCAAGATCAATTATCTTGGAATTCCGTCTTTCCAAGATACGTTATCTTGGAATTCCGTCTTTCCAAAATACGTTATCTTGGAAAGACGTCTTTCCGAGATAAATTATCTCGGAAAGACGTCTTAATAAGTGTTTATTCCATGTTTCCAAGATAATTATCTTGGAAACTTGGAAACTCGGAAGGTCACTTTAAGCTTCCGTAGTATGGTAGTTTCAGATTCAATATTTTAATCACATTTTGTACGGTTTTCCAGACTTCACCACAACAGCATATCTTTACCAAGAAAACAATGAATTCAACATTTTTTTTTTTTTTTTTTTGGGGTAATCTTGATTATCCAAGCCTGATGTTACCCACAAAGCAATTAAATTAATTTATAACAAGCGATGAAATACTCAAACCCAGGAATGAAACATAGCGTGGGGCACTTCACAGCCCGTCAACAGTGCAAGCTGCAAACTAAGCATGGTCAGCTAAGAATGGTCAGCTAAGAATGGTCAGCATGTGGTTTGAACCATGGCGGTTCAGAAAATGAATGGAGATCGCTGGGTCAAACCTCCTTTACCAACTTTCATGACTTGCAGATGTTTTACTACAAAAATCCTTATATATAATTCAGCCTTTCTAAAAGTAAGTAAAAGCTAGGCATTCGCTGCGCAGGGCGGTCGTTGGCCGACGCGATTCAATGGAAAATGCAACACCACGACGTGCACGTGCAACAGATCGTTTTTAATAACAATACGTTTAAACTGCCACCAACAATCAGCAGTGGGCGTCATGTTGTCTAATGCTCATAGGAAGTAGAGTTGGATTCATCGGACGATGGTCATACGACCATCGTACGGCCGTTCGAAGGTAAAACAACTGCACAAACCTGCAAAGCAGTTACGTTGTTTCGCTATGGGGCGGCCGCGTACGACGCAGTAAATGCCCTGCTTAAGGTTTGTCTATGCATCGGAATTGATGAGGAAAGATCATATCATTTTAATGTTCAAATCCTAAGCTGTCCAAATTATCAAATTTTCTTTGACAAAAAACTGCTGTATGCCTATACATAGTCATGATGTGCCCATATACGGTCATAATGATAGTCATAATTTGATAGTCTGGAGAAGTAAAACAATTAAAATATTGAATTTTATTTTTCACATTTTTAGCGCAACACAGATTTATAAACAATACTATAAAGAAAAATAATGTTATACATACGTTCACACAAATTCCCTTCTCTTTGACTGCCTGGTTTCCATGGTTTCTGATTGTAACCAGGACAACACTGTTCACAGCTACTCCCACATGTGTTATGTTCACATATGCAAAGTAAAATCTTTAAGATATAAAATATACAATTGAAAGAAACATGCTTTCTTAAAACACATACTACAAACCAAATAAATATTACGACTCTTAAATGTTGTAAATAAATAACTAAAAAAGCGACCAGTACTTTTGAGATTGACATCAAAACATTTAAGTATTTCCCTGTTTGGAATTTCTGCAGATATTATTCCTGAAGACGACTGAAGCAACTCAATCAAAACGTCAAGACTTTCTCAACTACAACAGTTCTTTTCAGAACTACAGTACCTACGTGGTGTACCGCAAACATGTGACATCAAAAGTATTATTATATAACACTGATTAAGTTAAATAACTCTAGAAATTAGACAAAAAGGGTTTTGAAGAGAGCGAGACCGATATTTTGAGATTAACATCAAAAGTACTATACACCTGTAACATTGATTAGGTTAATTGACTGTAGAAAATAGACAAAAAGAGTTTTGAAGAGAGCAAGTAGACAGTATGTCCATGGAGGTATAAAATTTTATAATTTTATACCTCCATGGTATATCTACCACAGCACAGATTCTATAGAGCAATTAAGTACAATATACTACCAGTCCGATTATGGCATTATATCGCAGAGACATTTAAGTAAGGAAAAATTACACATTTTATTTCTTTTTTTCCCGACACCCACTCATCATAAACATCATCAATTTATAGTCTATTATTATTCCATGCAAGCATGGGTTAGACTGTACAGTACTTGTAATGGCAACTTACCATTTTGCCTGGGTTCCAGGCCCTAATTTTGGGTTACTCACTCTTTATTGCACTTAGTGAGCGCCATACCTAATTTAATTGGCATCCTATACTCGATTTCTTTTTTTTTTTCGGATTAGGGCCTGGGCAAACGATTCATGCGTACGATTTCCCACATCAAATTCGATGTGGGATATCGTATGCATGACTGATTTTGTAAATCACGTGATTGGCTTACTTCATGCATATTAATTAATCTTGGTAAATTTTCAAAATGGAAGATGCGGACGTCTCAACTAGGACAAGCTAACCAGCTCCCTTCTGCCTACCTACTTGAATTAAAACAGTTACTATAGTTCTGGCCTGCTGAGAACGACTATGGACTGATAACTGTAGTAGGCTATACTTACTCTCATTGTTATTATTGCTATTATGATTATTTTTATTTTATTTTTTTGTTATTACAGTATTTTATTGTTATTAGCTTTTTCTCAGTTGGCCTATATATTATTTCTCTGTAAAGCGCATAGGGGCAATGTGCAATATGCGCTATATAAAAATAACATTATTATTATTATTATTATTATTATTATTATTATTATTATTATTATTACAAAACCTTGCTCACCACTAGCTGGTACACAGATTTAGGCCTTTAGGTTAGAATATTGTTAAAAAGGTAGGCATCTGTAGGTAAGAACTTAAAAATAGGCCATGCCACTACTAGGCTAAGCCTACTACTTCTGACTCCAGAGGCCTGAGCCATCCTCCTGGAAAGTTAAAGTGTATTTGTAATGGTATGTCATCTAGTCTAAGCTTAATAGTATTTGTCATTGCCAAAATTAGTCTTACTAGGGTCTATTCTAAATATTCAGGCCCGTTTTAATAGGCAGGACTATTTTTAGTCATGCTTAGTAGTCGACGCGAGTGACTCAGTTTCGTGGCTCCAAAAATATGAACATTTGATTGGTTGAAATTGTTTATTTCGGCCCGCCCATTTATCCAACTACGGAATATAAGATTACGTCATTCTTTTGGCATCCTGGTGCCTGCATTCAGTGTTTTACAGCACAAGTCGCTTATTCCGTCTCTAAATTAACTTTCTTGTTGGTGGCGCTGTCCAGAATGAGAAAAATAAAAAATAAGAAACTTGTGGCAATCTGTACGATTCTATGCAAGCTCTTTTTTAACTATAACTATATAATATTATGTGTACAGTAATTGGCACTAGAGGCATTTTCTATTAAAAGATTTTCTTCCAAGCTTGTTTATGAAGATGTTTATGTCTGTAGAAATACTGTAAGTCCCAGCTAATATCCAAATATATAGACATCACACAATTATCGCAAGCCAAGCAGACACAACAGACTATAATTTATTTATATCTATCAAGTACCACTAAACTGGATCCAATTATTTCACAACCATAGTCAATTACCCTGGATCAAATAAAAAAAAAAAAAAAGAAAAATTCATGCATATCAAGAGGATTCAGTAAATGTTTAGTAAGGACACACAGTTGCCAAGTTTAATACAAAGCCAAGTGGATTAAACCTTCCCATCAGTTTTCAGTGCATTCTATCAGGGTCAGATAAGGTCAATTGGATTAAAGGATCCCAAAGATGAACATTATCAACTCACTTGTGATTTTAACATTTAGTGTGCGCAATCCAAAATACATAATATAAATAATATTATAACATTTTTTAAAGATTATCATCTTTATTTTTAGTTAATTCTAATACAGTAAGGCGAGTCTTTGTTTATACCTCTTCTTAGCCAACTTTTTATTTGAAGATTAACAGGAGGGCGAAAAATAAAAATAAAATAAAATTTTGATTGTTATTTAGCAAATAGTTTTGTCAAAAACATCCAGATAGAGAAGAAAGTATAAATAAGTTAATTGGTAATGGGATGGCTAAATGCTTTAAAATTATATAA